GAGGTGTCTCCTGGTGTCGCAAAATTTAAAAAAATTAAAAAAAAAAAAAAAAAAATCTTATGAAATGATAGAGAATCCTTTCCCGATTGTAATGACACCAAAAAAACGAAATTTGATGGAAAACTGACAGAATTATGCTCTCGCGAAGTTAGCGACCTCAGCGCTGTTTACAAATCGGCGATTTCGCCCACTTTGAGCCCTATTTTCGGCTAATTCCCTTGTTCCAGTCACCCAAACTCATAGCTATTTCTTTAGAACTTCATTTTTTCTATCTATTGCGTACAAGAAACTGCCCATTTACCGATTTCAACTACCTAATAATGTGGTCAGAAATTTGCAATTTGGCCAATTTCACGAAAACTAAAAAATATGACAATTTCAAAATAAGGTCCAGAATGAACAATGCAGACATTTCTGGCTCTAAAGTAACATTTTCTTTGTTCATCAGTCATGTCTCCAGGCCCCTCTGATATTACTCTTGCTTTCTATTTTGAATTTTTATTCAAACAAAAAATAGAAGACTTACTATTATGCAGACTACTGCAATACTGTAATAATTGTATAAATAACATCAACCCATTCATGACTGCATATTAGAATGGCTAGTTGGACATTTATTGGACAATGGCATCATTTGATTACTTTTGAACATTGGCAAAAATCAAACATTTCCCCTACTTTGAGCTCCATTTCTAGGTTCTTTTTATAGTAAAATCAATCAAAATCACCTCTATTTCTATAATATGTTTTCCATTCTATCAAATGAGACCAAGAAAACGAGAATACAACCATAAATACTATACGAAAATAGACCACAAAGTCGGAATTTTAATTAAAAAAAAAAAACGGTCAGATTCTTTTCTCATTATGCACTGCGTGCTCCAGGATTTTTTTTATATGGTGCACACTGACCACACAGACCCATTCTCTCACATGTGGGCCTACCAGCTTTCTCCTGCTTGATTTGAAGCCGCTAGAATTTAAGAGTACATGTATATATACGTCAAACACGGTACCTCGTAAGACGTATATATACGGCCGCGACAGTCAAAGGGTTAATCTTGTCCCCCCAGGATGCGACCCACACCAGTCGACTAACACCCAGGTGAACAGGAAAAAATGCCTGGAACTAGTGCTCATATTGGTGAATTTAAGGCCAGCAAAGGTTGGTTTGAGAGATTTAAGAATCGTAGTGGCATACACAGTGTGATAAGGCATGGCAAAGCTGAAAAATTCCAACCCATACAAGTGTTTAACTGTGACGAAACAGGCCTGTTCTGGAAGAAAATGCCAAACAGGACCTACATTACTCAGGAGGATAAGGCACTCCCAGGACACAAGCCTATGAAAGACAGGCTAACTTTCATGTTTTGTTGTAATGCTAGTGGGGACTGCAAAGTGAAGCCTTTACTCATGTATAACTGAAAATCCCAGTGTGTTCAAGAAAAATAGTGTCTCATCACTCAACAATACTCTTTAATAAAGGTAAGTGTCATTTTAGTATTTATTTATGTATGTATTGGGCATGTCTCACTGTTTTCTGTGTAAGGAAACGTATATTTCATGTAGAAAAAATTATTTTTTTAATACTTTTGGCTGTCTGGAACGGATTAATTGGACTTCTATTATTTCTTATGGGGAAAATTAATTCGACTAACGGCTTATTCGACTAAAGGCTAGTTCTCTGGAACAGATTAAAGCCGATTGTTTGAGGGTCCACTGTACTGTGAAAGAGCCAATTCTGTATAATTCACACAAGCTTCTCACAGACACACCGTTGTCAAGTTTCTTCGGTTCGACCTTATCTTTTATGGACAATGTATGATGTTTGCACTTTACAAAACAAAAATAATTTCCTTTATTCATTGGAACGATGGCTGGAGCTAAAAGTGAGTATGCTATAACAATAAAATTGGAATGGTTGCCTATGTTTGCAAGCAACGCCATCAAACAGTAGCAGCAGGTTGGTGTGGCAACCCAAGAAATTTGCAACTACACTAGCCATAATTAGTGCTGGATTAGTGATGGCTGACCTGTATGCAATTCTACCTTCTACAATGAATACTGTACTATACGTATTGCTAATGCTTCCACTGTATATTATGCATCTTATTAGAACAGTGGTTCCCAACCTTTTCTTACTCCCGCACCCCTATGAAATTTTTGCTCTAACCTCGCACCCCCTACAATTTAAACTTTGTTCAAGGATAAAGGATGTGGAATCATACTAAATTTTATCAAAAGAAGATATTTGTTTCACTTTCTAATATATGAAAAAAATCACTTACAGAAAAGAAACATATCACAGAATGATATTTGAATACACCTTACAACAATAATAACTCTTGCTTGAAATATATACAAAAAAGTAAAATCAAGAACTAGCTTTCAAACCTTTAGGAAGGAATTTTATTTTTTTAATATGTAAAAAATCAAACATATGGACAAGAAAGGATGTCTCCAATTAACAGTTACCATCAGGTTGAATCCTCCCTTATACACAACTTTCTTTGTATGAATCTTAGTCCTGATTTTGTCTCAGTAGATGGCTTCCTTTCTCATTACATTGTAAAATGCTCCAAACTTCAGAACACCTATGACTTAGCCCGATTCTTTTTTCACCCTTCTCCCTTTTCCCCTTTCTTCTTTCTCCTTTGCGTTTTCTTTCTTCTGCCTTGGGTATTTGGTCCATTATTATTTCCCCCTCCCATCTGTGTTCTTGTTCCTACCCTTTGTAGGCCCCCTAGCTCCCTTGCAGTGCTCCTCTTTCTTAGTCTGACTGATTCCACTGCTACTACTACTACTACTACTACTACCACTCTTCTTTCTTTCCTACTACCTCTCTTGTCCCATCCCTGTCTGCTAGCCTATATATACTCCCTCCTTTTCTCCTTTTTGTTAGTGTGACTTTGTAAATGGTCCAAGTCAGACCGAAACGTCATTGTAAGCTTCTCCCTCCTATGTGCGGGTTATTTGTGTATATGGGAAGAGTGTAGCTGGGTGTGAATTATCTCTTCCTAGCATGGACCAATAGGTCTACTGCTGTGTTCCTTATGATATTATGGATATATTTCACCCTATATATCCAAACTGTTGTCACACAGTGATGGCTCTCATACAGAAACTGAAGCGTGCATCCCTAACTGAACTCCATGCATTTGAGGGCGTGGAGTATAACATCCATGTATCCAAAGTTGACACCTTAATTGTAGGTGGGTCTTCATCTATGAATGCTCTTAACTCCTCGAGTATCAACTATGGTATGCTTGTGTCAGAAGTCAGTCACAGGTTGGTGCACCTTCTATGGACTCCATCTCACATTGGTCCTCACATGCATGATAAATTATATACTGGCAAAGGAGGGAGTAGATTACAATCTTGGGCTGTCAGTTGGCAGTTTGAAAACAATCATATGAAAAGAACTTGAACTGAACTTCAGTGACTTGAGACTGAGGGAGACTTGACACCAGTCAGGTCACCTATCATTCTATCATGCAGGAAGAGACATGTCTATGGTGCATCCAACAAAATAATCAGAGATGCATCTAACGAAATAATCAGAGACTCGGATGTCACTACCACTCAGCTCCAGCTGAATTACAGGTGTCTTTGGGAGGATTATTTTAACACCTTGCATCACTGTGATGTGATAAAATTAATGAATTCAGAAACAACTCTCTTACAAATATTCAAGAAATGTCAAAATAATTTATCTAGAGTGGCATATCAATCATTCAGAGGAAAATACCTTGACATTGCCTATTGTAAACAGCTCAGAACCACACACTTTTTCAAATTCAAGCATACCTTGCTAAAATATATGGTAATATCAATAATACAAAAACCACATACAAGAAACACTAATAATTTTGTTTTAATTAATGTCTGCAAAAATAACTTCCAAAATTTTATTTCTAGAAGTACATGTACAAGGTAGACAGGCCTAGCTGACATCAGTGACCTCCAATGGAAACAAGTCACTGACGTTTTTGGGTTATCCTAGGTTCTCTACACATATGCTGTTATGCATGATAATACATGTAACTATATTTGTGTATACCTGAATAAACTCACTCACTACATAAAGTTGCTTGTTATGCAGAGCATTTTGGGCAAATTAGGTCAATTTTGTTCCAGAATGTGACCCACACCAATCGACTAACACCCAGGTACCAATTTTACTGATGGGTGAAGAAGGACAGCAGGTGCCTTATAGAAATACATCCTAATGTTTTCCAGCCATACCGGGGATCGATGTAAACAAGTACATAGCTCATTAATGCTATCTTTTTAGTTATCAAAACTCTGAAGCTTAGTCCCTGGATCAATTATGTCCCACTGTAATCTTTTGACTACCACCCACAGGGTGGGTATTGGGTGCATAATAGATATTAAACTATCCAAATTGTAAATCTTATATCCAATCTTATCATAAGGTATTTTCAGAAAAAAAAACTTGTTTATTAATACAATGGGGAGGTAATCTCTATCATAGTTTTAAACTTCATTATATACCTCAAAAAAAAGTAAATTCTAGTTGTCAAATTTTGTCAAGTGAGGAAAAATCCATATAAAGTAGAATCTAATCTCACCCTGGTTAAATAAATCACATTTGTGTTTGCTAATGCTGAAAAATAATAGCATTACTGACCATTTCAAATTGTCATTTTTCCACAGGAAAATATTGATTTCCTAAGGTTGGGGAGTGTTAGAGCGCCATCACATTGTGAAGCCTCTCAACCTTATATGTGATATATATGTTAGCTGCAGAGGCAAAAAGTGAGGGGCTCAGGAGCCTGAGCTTGACAGAGTTCATGTGAAGGAAGAAATGTAGTGTTAGAGGCAGGATCCGCCCCCTACCCTCCCTCCGTCATTACCATGATAACACTCCTACACCTACCTTTTTATCTTCAAACTATAATACTGTGAGGGACAGGCCCCCCCACTCAAAATATATCACTGCTAGAGGTTTCTTAGACTAAATGTAGTCAAATACTCACCGTCCCACAAAATTCTCCAGCACAGAGGACTTGCCAGCTGATTGTCCACCAACTACAGCAATTTGAGGTAAATCCAGCTGCATATGCACTCCCAACTGTGTGAAGGCATCTTGTAGTTTGTTCACAATGGGGATGAGCTGTTCCATCCCCACGTTGCCCGACATTGTGGCAGGTTAGGTGTACACTATGCCCGAGCTCACAACATTCACTCACTACAGAATATGGCAGACGGCCCCACACTCACACCAGTTCGAAAATTCAATACAATGCTGCGCGAAGACTGCGCCTCCGCCAACACAATCACATGCCAGAAACGCCCGCTAACTCTCCTTGTATTCTCTTCTCCCACTTTCATCACTTCATCTTATATCTAAACAACGAAAAAAAATTATAATTGCAACAAATTTTAAAATGCAATCTGGCAATTTTCAGTAATATATGGATAATATTAATAAATATAAGGAGACTCTCATAGAAAATTATAAGAAATATATTCTTTAGGGGTAGCTAATATTTTTGTCACTTGCTCTCTCCCTCTTCTACCTAATCTATAGATAAAACACCACTTACACCATATAAAAACCGGGAATATATTATACAGGTGCTGTCTCCATCAAGCACTCACATTCGTTAAATAAGCGTGAATCAAAAAAGATATATATTTGTCTAATACACCTTATTAATTGCTGTTCATTATTTATATGTGGTACTATTATATAACTATTTCGAAGGTAAACATCCTACAAAACATTGTCTCCGCCGCAAAAAATATCATCTTACATGAACTAATAAGAGCCTGATACAAAAGAAGTTCCATCTTCCCCAGAGGCCTGCAAGTGCGTGGCAGCAATAGGTAGGATGACATCCCTGTCAGAGGTGACGAAGTTGTATACGGGCGGCCACCAGACGTTACGAAAGTGTAATTCCCAGAATTTCCTCTGAATATCGCTACATGTGTTACGTAAACATGATTCAGCTATGAGTTTCTCTAAGTCTTAGTACTCCAGGTGCAAGATATATCAGATAAACAGGGACACTTGTTACAACATTATATGTACTCTATGTAATGCAATGTCTCGGCCCTCTTGAAGGTCCATAGGCACCTGGGGCACTTCCAGTTTTTGAGGCCATTGCTTCCGATTTTTTTAGGTTACTTTTTCCAGCTTTAAACGTTCCTGATTTCAACTTTTGACAGTCGTCCTTCCATATATCTAGCTTTTGAGGTCTCTGGTTCCAGCTTTTGAGGTTCCTGCTTCCAGCACTGACGTTCCTGCTTCCATCTTTAGAAATTCCTGCTTCCGGCTTTAGAGATCGTTGTTTCCAGCTTTTGAGGTCCTTACTTCAAGTTTTGAAGGCTCCTGCTTCCAGCTTTGGAGGTTCCTCCTCCCAGCTTTCGTGGTCCCTGCTTCCAGCTTTTGAGGTTCCTGCTTCCAGCTTATGACACTCTTACTTCCAGATTTTGAGGCCCCTGCTTCCAGCTTTTGACACCCATATTTAAAGCTTTGTACTTCCCTGCTTACAGCTTTTGAGATCTCTGCCTCCAGATTTTTATACCCACGTTTAAGGCTATTGATTCCCCTGCTTCCAGTTTTTGAAGTTATTGCTTCCAGCTTTTGAAACCCATATTTAAAACTTTTGACACCCCGGCTTACAGCTTTGACATCCCTTCTAGGATTTAGGGTCCCACAATGGAAAAAAAATAAAGTAAACGAAAACAAAAATAGAGACTTTAAATTTTTTTTAGTATTAATTAACAGTTTCTTTGCTGACGTTTTCCTGTGCATGCAGCTTGTAAACATTACACAAAAAAGTCATAAAATATGATACGTTATCTGTTATCTTTCGCTGTTTCACATGAGATCTTAACTGTATGTTCGTTATAAATGAACTACCGTAGAGACTTATTTCATGTATATAATGTATGTATATATTATCATAAACAAGTCCTTGGCATATGTAAGTAAGTTTATGACTATAAATTTTAGTGGACATTTTTTTTTGTACACAAAGCTTATCATATCACATGGCAGGAAATATGAAGTAGCTGTAGTAATGACTAATATCTACGCTCCCATTACTCCCTCATAACTCAATGTTCGTCATGTTCTATAAATATGATTTTAGTCTTCAAAATCCAGGATATGATATATTTCTAGTATTCAATGCTAATACCCAATACGCATACATTGTTTATATATATATATATATATTATATATATATATATATAATTATATATATATATATATATATATATATATTATATATATATATATATATATATGCAAAACAACCACGGGGGGAGTAGAATGATAGCTCTAGGTCTTTCGTGTTGCAACACGAAAGGCCTAGAGCTATCATTCTACTCCCCCGTGGTTGTTTTGCATCTTGTATCGCTTGGTTTGCGATATTTCCTTAATATATATATATATATATATATATATATATATATATATATATATATATATATATATATATATAATATAATATATATATATATATTCAGCAAGTCGGCCGTCTCCCACCGAGGCAGGATGACCCAAAAAGAAAGAAAATCCCCAAAAAGAAAATACTTTCATCATTCAACACTTTCACCTCACTCACACATAATCACTGTTTTTGCAGAGGTGCCCAGAATACAACAGTTTAGAAGTATATACGTATAAAAATACACAATATATCCCTCCAAACTGCAAATATCCCAGGGGAGGGTGAATAAGGGGTTAAATGTAAGGGTGTTGTGAAGTTAAGGGAAAAGTGAGCAGTGAAGAGGGTTTTGAAGAGGTTAACTGTAAGGGTTTTGTGAAGTTAAGGGAAAAGTGAGCAGTGAAGAGGGTTTTGAAGAGGAAATTTTACTAGTAATTCAGTGTAATTAAAGCAGATACTAAGTGTACTAGGGACTGGAAAAGAGAAATAAATATTGTATATGAGTAAAAGAGCGAAGAGTGAAAATGGCAGGCATTAGAGGGGTACAGGCTGCCATAATTATATTTATATTTCTTCTTCAATTCCATGAAGAAAGAAATCAGTCATGGGGGTTGGAAAAGGTGAATGGAGTAACAGCGCCCTGGACAGTAAAAGCCCAACAGTTGCCATCCTACCAGAAAAGTAAACCTCACTATCGCCGCAAGGTATGGCAACACCGCATACCCAAACAAAAACAATGGCACACAGCTCTTATTATTAAGAACGATAATAAATTTGTTGAGTTAGGCATAAGAATTAACAACTGGGCGTCTACACTGCAAACTGAATTGTTTGCAATCCTAATGGCGCTAAAGCTAACCTATGACACTGAGCTTGACTCTATCATCATTACTGATTCTATGTCATCACTGAAGGCTCTTGACTCATATAATGACTCCAACAACATGCTCATTGGGGAAGCCAGGTATAGATACTCAAAAATTAGGGACAAAGGAATTAATGTACAATTGCTATGGATCCCATCACACATTGGATTACTCCTTCATGATAAAGTTGATATGTTAGCCAAGAAGAGTATCGAGAAGGAGAATGTAGAATATAACTTTGGTATAACTGTGTCTAGCATTAGGAATAATATTAGGAGAGAAGTAAATAATGAAAATGATTGTTATAGGAATGCAGTTAGAAGCCTGAGTAGATCTATAACCCACTATGATAACATGAACGTAGATAAGTATGTTTATGGAGCAACTTGCAATGTGAACAGACTGACTGATGTTGTAGTGGCCAGGCTTAGGCTTGGTTACAAGTACTTCTGGCAGTTTGGGAGACATCACAGATGATGATCAAACTAAATGTAAATTATGTGATCAGGCATATGGTCACTCTCTTGAACACTATGTGCTTAATTGTCCACTTATTGAGGAATACAGAGACAGACAGTATAATAACCTATGTGACATGTCAAGATATCTATTAATGAAAATAAGATACCAGATATACTAAGCAAATTTCCTAAATTTGCTTGTAACAGATAAGTGAACTATAGATATGTAGATATAAATCCATATGTATTCCTGTTAACCCTTTGGGGCCTAGTTCCTAGGCCTTTTGTGTATCCATATGCTCTCGCGCTACAGTCCACAGGATGGATATGGGGTGCACAATAAACTAGCCACTTCGGTGGCAAAATCTAAAAGCAATCTTTGTAGCGTCTTTGGGGATATCCAAAATTTAAACCAGGGCCCCCAAATATTTTGGGGAGGCAAAACAGAAGATAAATGACGGCAATAATGACGGTCTAGTACTAGGGGGTG